TTCAAAGGAAATCACCTTGCACTATTAGTAATAGTAGTTGGAGTAATATTAATGGAGGCGTGGCTCGGTTCCGGCAGGAGCCACCGAGGGGCCTGAGGCCGACCCCGTCGAGATCGCCGACGCCGCGCAGCATCCACAAGCAGGCTTTCAAACTGGGATTTAACGCTTCCCAGCGTACAACATCGGCCTCTAGTCGGCGCGGCTCCCCCGCGGTAAATGGAAAGGAAAAAAGAGGAGAAGACGTCACACCAAGCTGGGTCCAACGCCTGAGCACGCCGCGAAAGCGCCTCCAGAGCCCTTCCGCTCTCAACACCCCTCTCTCACTTGGGGGAGAAAAGGGCAAACGAGGAAAGTCGAATCCCATTGGCACCTTTGCCGAGGCTTTGCAGAATGGCAGCATGCTGAGGAGCCCTTCTTCTTTTCGGAGTGGAAGTGACTTACTTACAGGACTCTCCCCAAAGGAGCAGCGGCGGGTGCTCTCTCTTATCAATACCTCGCCGTCATCGAAGAACACCTGTACTTCGACGGCGACGGGGACGGCCTTTCCGGGGCCGTGGAATCAGCTCATCCGTATGGATCTCACGCGGGAGGAGGATCTGAAGGCGCTTTATCGCCAAAAATACCTCGTCGACCCGCTCTTGCAAGGCCGGCCTGGCAAACGGCAGTACACCAAGCGGGACCACTTGGATTTGTTCTGCGGCGCCCCCGAGGTAATGGAAACATCCTCCCCGCGGGAGCAGGAAAATAAAAAAGACATCCCTGCCGACGAAATTGTGGCTTCCTCTTCCTTTTCTCCGCCACCGCAAGTGCAATCTACTGCGGTGAATATAAAAAAAAAGGAAATAGTGAAAGCGGCGGCGGTGAATGATAATAATTGTGGTTGTATTGATAATAATAATACCCCTCGTGGGAAGACAGCAACAGAGAGAGAGGGGCATACTTTGTTTAATCCGTCAATCAGCAATAACTTCCTTCAACCAAAGCGCTTTGGGAGGTTGAGGAATGAGACTTTGATTATAAAATCATCTGGGGATCATGATATCTTTGGTACCTCAAGTCGAATTAAAGCAATGATGAAGGCATCGGCCTCACTGGAAAGAAATAATAATAAAAAAGAGGAAGAAGTCAAGAAAGAAGAAAAAAAGTCGAGCTCCTCCTCTGCTCCATATGGTGCTGGGCGATCTCGGAAGGAGCCCTTTGCCGACGAGGAACCCCCCCGTGTGCCGCAACTTCAACCTGGCTCTGCTGAGAAACGTCAAACACGAAATGAAAGGGATATAGGAAACAGCAAAAGCATTAAAATCAGCTCCGCAATGTGGAATGGGGTAGTAACACCGTCATTATCCCCACAACGACTGCACAGAAGGAAAAACTCCATACCGACGAGGATTAGAGAGGCTCTTTAGTGAAATCAATGTAAAGAAATATCGACAGAAAGACAAAAGAGAGCTATTTCTTTTTCCCCCAATACTCTATTGAAGTGCATATTTTTTTGGTTTGTTTGATTCTTTATATATATATATATATAACATTCTTAGGGAATTAGAAATGATTTATTATATACTTCCTCTAAAATCAGTGGTGGCTTCCCCTGCACAGCGTGTTTCTTTATATTTTTCTTACCTTTTCGAGCACACAAAATTTCGATTAGGGAAATTCTCTCCACTAATATAATATTGGGCACTTATTTTTTGGGCATGTATTCGTGTTTATCGTACATGAAATAAATCATCAGAGTCTTTCTGAATCATTTTACATCGCATACAACTTCTTGTATAAGTATATAAATAGATATAAATACTTATTTATATTTATTTATTTATGTGTTTGTGAGCACACGTGTGTTTGAGTGCTTGAGCAACACGAAGATAGATATACATCCATACATACATATAATATATCCACTAGTATTTTCTATTTCAAGGTGATTTCATGAATTCGTTTTTTCTCTCTTAGAGTATCTTTTTTTTTACTTCACGTTGTATATTATTATTGTTATTAAGTACTGAACATTTTCATATTACACTTTCTCATTCAGCGTTTTCGTAGAATTTAGGTAAAATCAAAATGTTTGATGCGTTTTATGAATTGTGTGTCTTCCGCGATATTGTGGAAGTGTGACTTTCTCTCTTTTCTTCCTTCAAGTAAAAATGGAAGCAACCTCTTTTTTTCTGTTTTCTTTCTTCCTAATTGATGGGTTCTCATAGCTGTAGTTTTCGCCTGTATGTGAGGGTTGTAGGCATCGATAATTTTTAAAAAATCTTCCACACCCCTCTAGCGAAATGATCCGAAAGGGTATACTATCGCTCTCTGGCCGGGGTGTGCTCCCCCCCTGCCGCGCGCCGCCGTCCCGTTCACTTCTCTCGAGCAGCCCTGCGGCCCTTTCTTTCTTCTGTAATCGCCTCCGCCCCGTTCCAAACGCTGCGCTCTGCTGCCCTCGCCGCGCGCAGTCCTCCGGGGTCGAGGTGGCCTTCCCCATCGTCCAACTCCCCGCGCGCACGCTGTGGGCCCGGCAGGCCGCGCTCGACCCCGCCGCCCTCGCCACCGGGGACTTCGACGACCTCTTCGCCAGTCTCCACGCCGCGCGCAGGCACTACCAATATCCCTCCCTCAGCGCCCCGCAGATCGGCTGGAACGTGCAGGCCTTCGTGCTCTTCGACGGCAGCGTCTTTGTGAACCCTGTCGACCTCGACGCGGAGGACACAGGCACAACTGCAGGAAAGGACACAAGGACAACTGCAAAAGAGGACACAAGGATGGCGGAGCTGCGACGGGCGCGGGGGACGGGGTGGGCCTGGGAGCCCTGCGCGAGCTGCTCCTTTCTGATGCACTACATCGAGCGCCCGATGCGCATTCGGCTGCGCGCACTGGACGCGCGCGGGGTGGCGTTTGAGTGCGAGCTCAGCGGCATTCGCGCGCGGATGGCCTTGCATGAGATGGATCATCTAAACGGGGTCCTTTTTACACGACGAGTGTTGGATCTTGACCACATCGTTCCGCTCGATGGGTTGCTTCGATGGTGACTGGAGCGATG